GGGTAATACTGTATATTATTTTCTCCCAAAGCTTCTCTGGTAGGGAGGGGGAGGGAGGGAGGGAGGGACCGACCCAGCTAGGGCGAGTATTTTGATTGACAGATAGTGTCCTTGAAAATATATGTTTTAGCTCATAAAATTCATACAAATTACTCGGCCAGAATATAATTTACATTGCTGGAATTCTTACAATATGATGATCATTTTGAATATAAACATCATGGATTTTGCATTAGACATACAAATTTTAGATCTAATGTAATAATTTGGTTTACACAAAGCAAATATTTTATCTTTTGTCCAAAATATATGAAGTTTACATTCAAAATATTCCCTGACCTGCAAGGAATCCAGAAATGTCAATTATATTATCCTAACTTTAGTCTGACGTATTATTTATTACTAAAAGTTAAAATCAAGTTTTTTCACCCAAACATTTCTCTGGTAGGGAGGGAAGGTGGGGGGGAGGTTTGGGACCGACCAACCCAGCTGGCGTGAGTAATAATAATAATAATAATAATAATAATAATAAACGGTTTATTAATAGAGTTGCAGCCGGTGGCTGAAAATTTACACTTACATTTGATTTAGACATAATGATATAATATGCATTGAATACATTTACAGGGCTGTACAGTACATAAATCAGGAGTTGTTTATTATTTTAACAATAGATGGGATGGTGCTGTTCTTATATCTATCGGTGCGGGCTCTTATGGGCTGAATTTTGTTGTAGTGGCGGACTGCGCGAGTTGGGTGGGGGGCTGCAGGAGGTGGCGATGACGAGGGTGGTGCAGTAGTCCACTGCCAAACCTTTCCAGTGCTTGGTGGTGGAGGTCACTGAGGGATGGCATTTCCAGGGTGGAGAGAGCGTTGGTGTAGCCGGAGTATTCTGCGCCGAGCATGATTCTGCAGGCCCTTTTCTGTACCTTCTCTAGCTGACGTTGTTGGGTGGAGTTGAGAGAAGACGACCAGGCTGGTGACGCATACGTTAGTTTGGGGAGAATAAAGGCGTTGTAGATGGTCCTCAGCTCTGGCGTGGGTGTCCCAAGTGACCTAAGTCGTCGTAGCATGTAGAGACGATACGAGGCTGCCTTGACTGTGTTATTTACATGGGCCTTCCAGTCAAGTTTGTTGTCTATGGTTACACCCAGGAGTTTGGCAGACTGCACCAGCTGGAGAGGATGGGCACCCACTGTGACTGCTGGGGCTTGCACTGGAGTGGTGGCGGTATTGATGTGCATGACTACGGTTTTGGTGTGGTTGATGGTGACCTTGTTCTCCGTGGTCCATGCCTGTAGCCTGTCCAGGTGCCTTGTAGCGATGAGTAGTCTGGTGCGGTGTTGTCCACTATAACCCCCACAGTGCAGTCATCCACGTACTTCCACCTGTGAGGAGTGTCCGATAGAGCGTCGTTGATCTGAATGAGGAAGCACAGTGGTCCCATCTTGGTCCCCTGGGGAACACCGCAGGTGAGGTGTTGGAATGTGGAGACCAAGCCCTGATACCTCACTGCCTGGCGACGTCCACTCAAGAAATCAGTGAGCCATGAGACCAGGTTGGTGGGCAGCCCTAGTGCAATAGCCTTGTTGATAACAGTGCAGTGATCAACAAGGTCAAAGGCCTTCCTGAAGTTCACAAGGGCAACGGCCAGTGATGTCTTACGTTTCTGCAAGTTCCTGTGCAGAAAATCCAGAAAGCTCACCAAGCAGTGTGATGTAGAGGAGGTCCTCATATTGCCAAATTGCTGTGGATCAATTGACTGATAGATATTGGCAAATGCCCATTCAAAAACAAAGTCCTCACAAAGTAGACGGTATGGGGGTAATGGCAACTGGCCTGAGGTCGTTAGGGGACTGTGGGGTGGTGACCTTGGGGATGGGGGTGACAAATGCGGTTTTCCATTCATTAGGGTATTTGCTTTGTCTGAGGGATGCATTAATAAGAAAACAGGGGGGTGGCAAGTTCGACTGCAAACTCCTTGTATATTTTGATTGGGAGGTCAATTGGGGTCGTGGAGCGCTTGGATTTAAATTTCAGGAGTTTGTTGGCAATTTCATATGGTTGAACACTGGGAGGGGGGGAGGGGGAAGGTAAGTAAGCTGGGAGGAGAGTGAGGTCAAGACGTAAGGAGGGGGGGAGGGAAGGTGGGGTACTTTGATTGACAGATAGTGTCGTGAAGAATATTTTTTTTTATTAACTGAAGATATTTGTTTTAGCTCATAAAATTCATACAAATTACTCGACCAGAATATAATTTACATTGCTGGAATTCTTACAATATGATGATCATTTTGAATATAAACATCATGGATTTTGCATTAGACATACAAATTTTAGATCTTATGTAATAATTTGGTTTACACAAAGCAAATATTTTATCTTTTGTGCAAAATATATGAAGTTTACATTCAAAATATTCCCTGACCTGCAAGGAATCCAGAAATGTCAATTATATTATCCTAACTTTAGTCTGAGGTATTATTTATTACTAAACGTTAAAATCTAGTGTTTTCACCCAATCATTTCTCAGAGAGGTAAGAGCTAGTGAGCTGGGAAGAGGGGGGGTGGGATTTGAGTCCATTATTTGAATGGACATTAACATGGCGACTGTATTTCTCTTAAATATTAATTGTGTGAGCATACCATCATAAAATTTAGATGTTATTTTTACTACAACATAGGTATTGTGTAGGAAAAAGTGGAGTTTGGGGGTCGGGCCAGTCTCTATTGGAATTAATCCCATATGTTTAGTTGTTCACTTTACGCGGTTTTCACTTTCCGCGGTACCCTGTGGGTTCAATTGACTGCGTAAATCGGGGTACTACTGTATTGAACTTAACCAAGTTTGTACCTCCCCATTCAGAGATGCTGCACAGATCTGCTTTGATAGAAGTAATGATATCAGTTCTAGAAACCTATCTAGTTTGAGAGTTAGGAGGAAGGGGAAAATGTGAGGAAGAGTGAAGAGTAGAATCATCAGCGTAAGAATGGATAGAATTAGTTGTAGTGTGAAGTAAATCATTGATAAAAAGAAGGAAGAGAGTTGGTGAAAGAACAGAACCCTGTGGGACGCCACTACTGGTAGAGAAAGAGCGAGAAATCGATCCCTAGACAACAACTGCCATGGATCGGTTCTCAAGGAAGCTAGAGATGAGAAAACAAAGTGGGGGAGAGAAACCAAAGGAGGGAAGTTTAGACAGCAAAGACTTGTGCCATACCCTGTCAAATGCTTTGGGGATGTCGAGAGCCACGACAAAAGTTTCCCCATAATCATTAAGAGAGGATGACCAAAGATGGGTGCAATAGGAGTGCAGATCACCAGTAGATCTCGCCTGGTGAAAGCCATACTGGTGATCGACAAAAGAGAAAGGCGTTCAAGGTGACGGAGAAAATGGGAGTTCAAGATAGTTTCGAAAATCTTAGAGAGGGATGAAGTTAGGGCAATGGGGCGATAGTTAGAGGGATTAGAATGGTCACCCTTCTTCGGGATGGGCTGAACCAAGGCATGCTTCCAAGAAGAAGGAAAAGTTTGGGTTTTGAGGCAAAGGCAAAAGAGGCGAGCAAGCACAGGGGCTAGGGCTTCAGCACACTCCCTCAGAACACGAGGGGGTATTCCGTCCGGTCCATGCGCCTTACTCACATCCAACCTGGATAACACAGCGGCAACCCTGCGAGTGGAGATTATAGGAAAGTGCATAGGTTCAGTTGGAGGTGCAGGGGTAGGAGGGATAGAGTGGGAATCGTTTAAGGTGGAATTAGCGGAGAATAAGGTGCCGAAGAGGTTGGCTTTGTCAGGGGGAGAGTTGGCTACAGAGTTATTGGGACGGGAGAGGGGAGGAAAAGAAGGCGTGCAGAAGTTGTTACAGATGTTTTTAGTTAAGGACCAGAAGGATTTACTAGAGGAAGAATTAGTCAGGACAGCGGTCTTTCTTTTAATAAAATTCCGCTTGGCCCTACGAAGAATAGCCTTACAACGATTCCTAGAAGTAATGAAAGAGGTGTGGGTAATAGGAGAAGGAGATTGGGATTAGTAGACTCGCTGAATTCGTCAGAAATACGACTTTTAAGGATCAGTCTCTTACAGCCTTTGTTGACACCCACGGCATGCGTGCGTGTTCCAGATGTCAGTTGTCTTTCATTGAATAACTTGGTAAGTAAAATACTGTAGAACTTATTTGTATTATGTAGTTTAGTTCAAATGCTGCTACTGTAATTCTATTATATATAAGCCAGATTGGCTTAAAGTAGTGTTATTAATTGCTGTAATAAAAAAAATATATAAATAAAACAAAATTACCTGTTAAAAATAAACAATAAAAAACGTTTTTTCCCCCATGTTTTTTTTTTTGCAAAAAAGTTTCTTATTAAAAAACTAATGCATTTTTTTTTTTTTGCTTTGCATCACTACCTAACCTATTAAAGCTTACCTATTGATAGTTGATAATAACGCTCAATGAAATGAGGAACTTTAGGGGAAAAAACTATGTAGAAGAAAACTTCTTTCTTGTCTTTCAAATATAAAGGATGGAGGAATTGCAAATTTCCTAATTTTGTTTTTCTGTACTGTAGTATTTCTTAAAAGGAAATTTGGGGCAGAAGTCTTTGCCACCTTTGGGTTAAACTCCTGATGAGCTAGCCAGCTAAGTTATCATAACTAAGTATCCTTCCCGGCAAATTGCCCATACAAACTGCTGATAATTGGTTGTATGATAGTGAAGGAAACACGACTAAGAGATGGAGCTTTATTCCTGATGTTTCGTCACAAGATTATAATAGTAAAATAACACCTTAACCAACCTATGTACTGTACTTCCATCTTATGATAGGTTGGTGTGTTATGTTAGGTTGGTTAGGTCAGGTTTAGTTAATTCATTTGTCTTGAAATAAATCATTGGTGTTTGTAATTACTGGATTCACTTGAGAAAGGTATCAATATTACATACTGTACACTATTGTAAGAGAACAAATATCTGTACTCATGTTTTCTTCTCTCACAGAGTTGATAGTGCTGATGATTGATCAGCATTAGTGAGGTTTGGCATACAAAATGGCAGCTGTATCGCCGCCACATCCTCCAAATGATCCTGACTTGGAAATTAAAGTAAAAAAAGGTGTGTATAAAAAACTAATTAGTAAATCATATCAAGAAAAAATTGAGAGGCACAGTGGTGGGTGGTAAGAGGAATAGTTAAACATGTAGTGATACCATAAAAAGAGGGTTTTTAACAACCTCTTTAGTTAAAAGGAGAAGTAAAAATGAAAGACTGATCCAGAAATTGTGTGACCAAGTCTGAGTACTTTTTTTTAGCTGACAGTTCAAGCTCATGTGCTCATACATACTAAATCCATATATAACTGTTAAGGATACCCAGTTATGGCTCACTTTAATGCCAAATGTAATGTATGTAAAGATATAATTGATTGAAAACATTAACTTTCAAGATATGACAGGAAAAAAGTTTGAAATAAAGAATTCACAATCAAACTCATGCTTTCAGAGAACACCTTGGGAGTAATATATTGTACTACTACTGTACATCTCTTTTCACTAATTATTATGTATATCAAAACAAATGACACATACAGTACCTATAAAGAAATGGATAATAATGAACATTTTATAAAGAGTAGAATCAAGTGTAAACACCACATACAGTCTACCCTCGTTAATTCGGACCCCTTTAATCCGGATTTCGGATAATTCGGACAAAATCTGAACTTTTTTTTCTATTTTTTTATTTTTTATTTTATTTATTTATTTTTTTTTTGCAGGAATATTACCTACGCGGACCTTAAGCTAAAATGCTGGTCCACCCACTGCTGGGATAAAACACCAGCATCTTTTTGATTAAATCTAACATCACCACTAGTGTGGGGGGGGGAATGCAACTTTTAGCTTCAGACATGAAAAATATTTACCATTTACTGTCAGTAAACAATGGAAACGTAAAATATGTACCAATTAGTAATGAAAAGTTGTGCAGTTCCTTCAGCAAATGAAGCTCGCCAACTTACAATAGGCTAAATTACCGTACAACGTGTTTTCAGTAGTCTATGTTGAAGTTCTTAGCTCAGGCTAACTTATCATATCATATACGGTATCACAGTTCTCATTGATCTACAAAAAATACCGGTAATAAAAACCTTTTTGATATTTCACACTTAATATAATACCCGGTAATCTACTTCAACCTCCTATTGTTTACAACGACGCATGACGCACCACCAGCTGTTGAGTATTAGCTACACGGTACACGTGTTTTTCGAATCGTTTTCAGTTAAAAAACTGTTACATCACATGTATATTTTACCTTAACTGTGCCTGAATGAATATATTCTCGGAAATAAATAGTAGTTTTTCTGAAACGTGATGTATTTTAATGTTAAAATAGGATAAAATACATGACGAAAACAAAAGACTTTACCTAACCTTTCGATGTTCAAGAGAAGTTACTCGTTTTTTAATAGTTTTTGGTTAAAATACTGTTATATTACAATGGTATTCTATTCATACTGTGCTTGATATAATGCATTCACGGAAATGTAATATTTTTGCTGAAATGACGTACGTATTACAGTGGAAAGTGGGATAAAATCATGACGAAAACAATGACTTTCGCTTTCTTTCGTTCAAAAGATGTTACCGTAATCGCTTTTCGATTGGTTTTCAGTTAAAAAACTGCTGCATTACAATAATATTCTATCCTAATTGACTTGAATAAATACCACAATACTATATATCTGAATATTTTCATTAAAATCCATCCAAATCATTTTCCTTGTCATCGTCTGCAGCACCAAACAGCTTCTCCCAGTCCTCTCCTTGAACAGGGCTAGAGGGTACGTGTTATTCGAATCGTTTTCAGTTAAAAAATTGTTACATCACACGTATATTTTACCTAAACTGCGCCTGAATGAATATATTCTCGGAAATAAATAGTAGTTTTGCTGAAACGTGATGTATTTCAATGTAAAATAGGAATAAAATACATGACGAAAACAAAAGACTTTACCTAAGCTTCCGATGTTCTTGAGATGTTACTCGTTTTTTTAATAGTTTTCGGTTAAAATACTGTTATATTACAATGATATTCTATTCATACTGTGCTTGATATAATACATTCACGGAAATGTAATATTTTTGCTGAAATTACGTACGTATTACAGTGGAAAGTGGGATAAAACAGTGACGAAAACAATGACTTTGAAATATAATGCAATATTAACCCCTAAATCGGTTAATTCGGACAATCGGCTAAAACGGACACCCTTCCCCCTCCTATTGGTCCGAATTAACGAGGGTCGACTGTATTTACATAAGGTGTCGTTTAAGACAAACTTAATGAGGAGGTAGTGTACTTGGCAGAAGAGCCACTCAACTGAGATTGAAAGATCTGTATAATACTCTGTTTACCCCAGCTAAAAATGACATGTACACCCTTAAACATTAGTAGCTGGGACTATTCTTAAATTGACTATACAGTGGGGTATGCTATTACGAATCTAATTGGTTCTAGAACCTTGTTCGTTATAGCATTCGTTCGTTTTAGGATTATTCCGTTCCAGGCCCCCAAATATAACCACTTAACACTGAAAAATATAATATAAAATTGTAAAAATTGTAAAAAAGTGCATAAATATGCATCTAAACCCCTGAAAGAAAGAATATCATTAATACTTGTAATAAAAAACAATAAATTAGTATAAAAAAAAAAAAAAAAAAATTAAATAATGTTCGTTGTAGGAGTTTCGTTCATTATAGCATCTCAATTTTACAGGTAAAACCATTCGTTATAGGAATATTCGTAGTAGGATCCGTTCATTATAGCATACCCCACTGTACAGTACTTTCCCATTAGAACCTAGTTCCTGAAAGGCAACTACAGAAGTGGGAGTCATCATTATGTTAGAGAGCAATCAGTTGTGATGTCACTTTTGCATGTGTTCACTTTGCCTGTCAACTGGGTCAACCATATTGAATCCCACGTTCATTCCCTCTGTACAGTCAATTTCCACGCTACCTAAAACAAAAATTCCTGTAGTTACAATTCACAACAAATATCGAGAACTATTAGATTATGGTTTAAAATCCCATAAAGGCTATTATTAGAGGCTTAAGAACTTTTTGCATTTCTAGTTAGGGGGTGTAGACGATACCCCTACTGGTGAGCCTTAAGAGCAACATGGGTTCATAGCTGAAATTGAAAGATTGAGCCTGGAATCCATAATGGTTAACTTAAGTGGACAGATGAAGGGTGCTTGTCAAGATGCATTTCTTTTTAACTTAAATGCTGCTTCATTTCAAAAGATCCCTTATAGAGCCTTAGCTGTGATGGGAAAACTTAATTAATTAATGAATTAGTCCAAACACTCATGTTTAAGGGTGTACCTGGATTTCTAACTTATGGACTTAATACTACAATTTGTGAGTCACTTAGGAAAGGTACAGTATTATGAAAACAAATAATAATTTGGTTAAATATCCTTTTGGTAGAGTTTGGTAGCAGTCATTTTGTAGGAGAAATTATATTATGTATTTTTTTAAACTGGTAAAGTCCGTTGCTATAAAAAAATATGGTACAGTTAACCCTCACTTTACGCGGTTAATGTAACCCGGAGGGTACCGCGGAAAGTGAGAAATGCGTAAAGTGAATAACATAACATATGGGATTAATTGAAATGGAGTCCAGGCCGATCCCCAAACTCCACTTTTTGACGACACATAACTATGTTGTAGTAAAAATAACATCTTAATTTTATGATGGTACATGCACACACTTAATACTTAAGAGAAATAGAGTAATACAGTCGCCAAGTTAATGTCCATTCAAATAATGGACACGACTCCCTCCCCCTCTCACACTACACTGCTGGCTCTTCCCTCTCTGAGAAATTTTTGGGGGAAAACCAGGTATAGTAATAAATAATACCTCAAACTAAAGTTAGGATAATATAATTGACATTGCTGGATTCCTTGTAAGACCAGGAATATTTTGAATATAAATGTCATATATTTTTCACAAAAGATAACATACTTACTCAGATTAAACATTTTATCTAAAAATTTTATGTCTAATGCAAAATATATGATGTTTATATTCAAAATGATCACCAAATTGTAAGAATTCCAGCAATGTAAATTATATTCTGGCCGGGTAATTTGTATGAATTTTATGAGCTAAAACAAATATCTTCAGTTAATAAAAAAAAAATATTCTTCACGACACTATCTGTCAATCAAAGTACCCCACCTTGCCTCCCCCCCTCTTCCAACCGCGCGGTCAGTCCCAACCTCCCCCCCCACCCCCCACCACTCCTCCCTTCAAGAGAAGAGTGGGTGAAAAATTTAGATTTTAACATTTTGTATTAAATAATACCTCAGATTAAAGTTAGGATAATATAATTGACATTGCTGGATTCCTTGTAAGACCAGGAATATTTTGAATATAAACGTCATATATTTTGCACAAAAGATAACATACTTACTCAGATTAAACATTTTATCTAAAAATTTTATGTCTAATGCAAAATATATGATGTTTATATTCAAAATGATCACCAAATTGTAAGAATTCCAGCAATGTAAATTATATTCTGGCCGGGTAATTTGTATGAATTTTATGAGCTAAAATAAAAATCTTCAGTTAATAAAAAAAAAAATATTCTTCACACGGTAACAGATGGTCGGTCGCCGGTCCCTCCCTCCCTCCCCCCACCCCCCACCAACGTCCCTACTAGATAAATGTGTGGGAATACCAGACTGTTTACCTTTTTAGTAATAAATAATAAATCAGACTAAAGTTAGGATAATATAATTGACATTGCTGGATTCCTTGTAAGACCAGGAATATTTTGAATATAAATATCATATATTTTGCACAAAAGATAACATATTTACTCAAGAGTAAACATTATATCTAAAATTTGTATGTCTAATGCAAAATCTATGATGTTTATATTCAAAATGATCATCAAATTGTAAGAATTCCAGCAATGTAAATTATATTCTGGCCGGATAATTTGTATGAATTTTATGAGCTAAATTAAAAAAAATTATACTTCACCGTGTAAAGGGGTACACCCACCGCGGAATGTGAGCATCCTGGGTTCTGGCAGGGCACCGCGTAAACGTGGAAACGCGGAATGTGGGACCGCTTAAAGTGAGGGTTGACTGTATACAGTACTATTTGTTTTATATCTTTTATTTATTTCTTGAATATTATTAACCTACAAAATTTGTAAGGATCCATGCATACATAATGAATATGGTGTTATTGTACAGTGCTCTCAAATAGTGTGATTACAAAAAATTTTGTTTCCCTACAGCCTTGGAGCGTGTTAGTGAGAATATCCATATATCAGCCAATGAACCCTCATTAGCAGTGTACCGCCTCCAAGAGCATGTTCGTCGTGCCCTGCCCCCAACTGTCACACGTAGGCAGCATGTCACTGCACTCCATTCACAGCTACAAGGAGCTTGTTATGATGTGGAATATGCTTTAGGGTAAGTTTGCTATACAGTGTATTAGTTAATAAACCTTGGTTTTTATTCCAAGATGTTCCCATTATAAAGTTAATAGAATGAAGAGCAAATGTGTACTCACATCCAAGTGGTTGTAAGTGTGTAAAGTTGGAAGCTATGAGGCAATGGTAGTCTCCTTCCCTTCCTCACAGTTTCATAACCTGACACTCTTATCATCTATTGATTACTACAGTCTCACTGGATTAAATTGAAGTTCTGTACTGTGCAGGTGGAAACTTATTATATGCATTAAAGCCTTAGTCTGCATATACTGTCCTGCAGTTACACTTTGATCAACTGTACAGATACACTCGTGTTGCATTTTACGTGCATATAACTTACGCGCGTTCAACTTTACGTGCTGGACTTAGGGAAAAAAAAAAGAACCAGTGATTGTAGGATGGTAATGCTAGGGGAGATACCTCCACCCTCGGCCTCAGTTGCCATGTGTGCTGAGCAGTAGTGGTGGGCATATCAATACCAAAGTATCGATATTTCCTATACCAGCCATATACTTGAAGGTAACGATACTAAATGCTAGGTATCGAGTACTATGAGTACCTCAGTAAAATTGGCCAAAATACAGTGTAGTCATAAAACGTGATTGTCGGTACAGTAAACCTTTGAAGATCCGGACCCGGGAAGTCGGGATTTCGGAAGATCCAGACAAAAATTTTGGGGGTTCTGGGCTAAGAAGCCTCCTAGAAGTTTCCATAAGAGGCATTCCCAAACCAGAGCAAAGAACGTTTTAGGCCTGTGGGCGCTGCTTGACCCGTCAGTTGCTTGGACACAGGTGCCCGAGGAGGTGGGAAACATATAGAGTTGACAATTGTTGTTTGTGGGAATATTATTTCATCCACTCTAGTAATGATACAATGTTTCTTATTATGTTGTCATTGGAAAATGCACGGTTATTTGTTTATCACTACATTAGTATTGTATTTTTGGTGTTTTTTATATCATTTATTATTCACCGGAAAATCCGGGCAATCGGCTTTTCCGGAAAGGTGGTCCCTCCATTTAATCCGGATCTTCGAGGGTTCACTGTATTTTCAAATATTACCATTATTGAGTGTCTGGCAGCCCAGTTCCTTGCAGGGCAGTCACAGGCCTCATGGGAGGACGCAAGAGATGCATATTGTCATTTTGTATATTTTGCATGTAATTCCGTTCATATAACGTATTGATGATAATGATGATGTTCTTAATCTTGATCTTGGTCTTGTTTCAAGATTGAATATAACATAACATCTAGTTGTAACTAACTACAAAAGCATTTGAAATTTAGTGATTACAAATAAACAAAATAATAAGCATACATTGAATGATGCTGCTGAATCATTAATGGTAATTGGATGATGTAATTTTAATTTTGATATTAATACAAAAATTGATTTTTTCTTATTATTTTGTAATAGTAAGCTAATGTAAAACGGCTCACCACGAACGTGGCTGAATATTTAACGAGCAGCAATTAGATCGGTCGTCAACTATCACAAAAACACTATTGCAAAGATTTTTTGGTTCCAACATGTACATAAACCAAGCAATACACTCTGACTTCACTCGACCAAAACAGAAGATACAAACTACTTTCACATTAATAGGAACTCCCAGGGAGCAGGTAAACATAGATTTTTTGTCTAGGTTTGTTACATTTTATAATATGTGAGAAGCTCTGCAAAAATGAAAATAATTACATATTTCTCATTCATTTATTCACCTTCAATTCTATTACTGCAAAGTACTCTGTTCAGTGGAGGAAACATCTTGCTTGTGGGTCTCTTGAACACAGAGTATTTTTACAGTACAATTATTGGTCATTCTGAAATTTATTTAACATATTGACAATGTATAATGCAGTGCAGTGTTGATTTAAAGAAAATAATCTTGAATTACACCTAGTGAACTTAAAATTTTATGGGTGAAATGACGGCATCAAGCATGGGGTGATTTCTCTTCCACCCCCACTTCCTTCTCTTCTCCCTTCTCCTCCGCCCCCACTTCTAATTACCATCATCATCAACCAGGAGCCTTCTACATACACACCTGAAAGTAAGTGTGCTTTACTGCATTTTCTTGTTTTACTTTGTATGTAATTTTCGGTGAGCTGGAACCAATTACCTAAAATCCCATTGAAACAATGGTTTCGGTTAACAAACGACCTTCTGGAATGAATTGTGTTCGTTAACCGAGGAACCACTGTATGTACAGTCTTGTTCAAGATTCTTCAAACACTGTTGGAGATAGCTGGCAACTCGAAGCCGTTTGTATACTATAGTACGTAGTATAATATAATACAATACGAAAAAACAAAGCCCAACCATTAAGTTAAGTATCGGGGAACTAAGTAACCAATCACCGATCACTTTTACATTCATTCATAATTTTTACTATGTATTATAGTAAACAAATGGCCTTGTGTTGCCAGCAGTGTTCGAAGAATCTTGAACGAGACTGTACACTCTCCCCAAAAAGTATCCCCCCCCTCTCCTCCAGGCCTGATGTATTTGGATATGAACACAATAACACGTGCTTAGCAGTCTTGGTTAGGTTGGTGTTTCTGATTGTGAGTTGCACCTTTTGTTCTTTCTTTCTGCACCTGATAATCACCATGATATCTGCAGTATACCAACTATTTTCTACATAATGTAATGAAATAGAAAGAATTGTGATACCATATGCAAAACCAATAACATAATGAGTAACCCCGCTGATTTATGCTCCTTAGATACTAGTTCAGCCTCGGGATGGTGTTGCCAAATAGGAATATAACATTACTATGTGTTCATGAACCGAGGTTACAATGGAATCGCTTCGAACGAAATATGAAACACTATAACCCGATATTATATGCATTTGCCATATCCAATTATAATGACATTATGATTCACAGCATTTCGATATTATTTCAACTTCAATTGATGAGGTAATATAACGTATCATCTCATGATTCGTGCTGGCAACGGGGCATTATCTGATAAACACTAAGAGACGATGTGGTCAAGTCCTCCCATGGGATTGAGAGTCACTATGGAGACATCACAGGCATCACAGGTAGAAACTCTAATCATAAAGTTAAAAAGTAACAAAGATTTCTTTGAATATTGTTTCATTTCCTAGAATTTGTTATTGCTTAACCTAACTTAGTGTTATTATTTAATAGTCATTAGCACTACAGTATATGGCTTATTATAATTATTATACCTTACAGTTACAATGAGGTAAACATAATGCTAACAATCATTGATTTATAGCTCTGCTGTTATTCGGAAAGTGACATTTCTTCATGTCTGTCAGTGCAAGCGGTGTTTTCCAATGAGTCTCAGATACTAGTGTTGGTCATGGATTTCCAGCAGAAAACACCCACTATTTGACTGCCGTTGATATATATATTCGCTACATTAATTTTATTATATTATTTTACTAAAGATGGAGCACATTGATTCACCATAATTACCTCAAATGCCAAAAATTATAACTGGAAACCTCACATACTAGGAAGATAGACCTACCAACATAATGCAGGAATCACAATTAGTGAACGAAAATATTCGTCCATTGTGGACACATTGTATCGATGAGAAAAGGGGCCAATACTTTTTGGGGAGACTGTACATATGTTTATACTGTATATGTAAAATAAAATATATTAAGAAAATCAGAAAGTGAATGTGGTAAATTGAAGAGAAAATTTTTAAAACTTTTTTAAATAGAGTGCAGTATTCTCAGTATGGAAAAATGTGATTATTGTGGCAATTTTGAGAGAATACGTGGCTTTAAGTTTTGAACGTCTGTGCCAAAATTATGAAATGGAACTATTAGTGGAGGAAGAATTTTGAATCTTTGGTCTTGAAATGTCAAAGTATTCTAAAAGACTGACAGAAACAACTGACAGTCGGCCACACCTCCCGCCGCCCCCCCCCCCCCTGCAGTGCATTTCACGTACGTTTTCTTTTTATAAACTCGTATGAAATTACAATATGCACTGTCCATAAATTCTTACAACACCATAAGCTCTCTCAAGAATTAAACTTAACATTCAGTAAATAAAATCTTACAAAACTAATTATTTTCAAACAATAATCAACTCAGAATGAAATAGAGTAATCAACATAGATAAAATGTTTTTTGACCGCCTTATATTTTCTAAAATAAATTATACCCTTATTATTTATTGTTAGTGAGGTTTTGTTGGTACCAAAGGGAATCTGAGATTCTCACGCATTTTTTATCTATATACCCGGTAATTCATTTTAGAAAATTTAGTTTTATATAATTAAAATGAAGTTGATTGAAAATGCAATGATGAATTTCAAATTATACTCGCCAAAGCATGCATTTATTTTTTGTTTTTCATATTGTTTATTTGCTCTTTAGATTCCTTACATGATTTTGTATATATTGGGATATTATTGAAATACCATACATAAATATGTAGTGTAGGAAAAATTATTAAGGTGAAAAAAAATTGACAAGAGCTGTAGTATTTCCAATCTAATCTGGCCCATAAGCCACACCCCTTTTCTATACTAATAGCTGATTGGTTCATAGAAAATTCAAACTAAATGTGTTCACAATTGGTAAGCAGACTTGTTATTATCTAAAATAATGTTAAATAATTATCTGAACTATCAAAATGCAAATGATTTCAAGGCATTAGCATTTCAGAGAGGATGTTAGAAATTTTTAAATAATTATCATAAAAGGTTGATATAAATACGCACTAGTACATGCGCAGCCCGAGGAGAGGTAAAATGCTCAGGCGAACCAATCAGTTATTTGTAGCTATAGACGAGGGGCGTGGTTTATGGGACAGGTTAGCGTGGAAAGGGTATAGGAAGAGGCAGGGGTTAAAAGAGCCCCATCCAGCATCAGGTAGGGTTAAGGCTCAAGAAGTCACAGGTTCAGAAAATTGTCAAGGTAAACTTTTTTGGAGTGAGGGTTGTGAACTCTGGAACAGCCTATCAGAGAATGTTGTGATGACTCCGAGTGTGAGCTAATTCAAGACCAGACTGGACCAGCACTGTCACAGGTACAGATACTTACTGGAACCAGTCTTTGCCAACAGTGTGTAACAAGAGATGTGACCAACTGCCCAAGCAGCTAAGAAGCTGACAGGTGGCAAAAATTCTCGCATGTAATTTATTTTATGCGATGAATTTCATTATTCAGACAAATATTATGGTTCTCACCAAGTTGAGTGGTGAAAGGATATAAGGTTGGTAGTAGTGAGGGAGAGAGCAGGTAGGTCTCACTCCCTGCTTTTCTCATGTAAAAAGTATTTCAGGTAAAAATTTTCAATTAGGCATATTTGTTCATCAGTGCAACATTAAACAAAATAAAAAATTTATGAAGACTCTTTGCCTTTTAGCAATGCCTGCTTATTAGTGCAAGGTAAGAACTGTAAGAGAGTTAATGATTCTGTATAAGTTTCCTTAACAGAATTGTTAAAACTCCATTTTATGTTGCAGTGCTGTCCGAGTAATGAAGGATGCAGGAGATAAATTCATATCATTGCAGGAACTCTTGAAGAGTGCAATATTTCATCGTCAGCAGCTGAAATATGAACAGACACGCAGGTATGTGATGTCAACAAATTGTTCAGCAATCATTTTTTTAAATAAATATAGCTTCTTATTTTGTGAATACTTTTCTTGACACAGTAGTTTTGAAAGTCATAAGAAAAGTGTGAAGGAGTGGACTAGTGACGGTAGTCGTATTGTTTATGAAATTGTGATACTCAGAAATAATTGAATACAATTTGAGCACATTCAGGTGGTGAGGTAAAGTAAGCTAACACATATTAAACCTTCCTCTCATAAAGTAGTCCATGTATTCCTCCTAATTTATGTTTTCTCACCCCAGGAGCCTTTATATATATATATATATATATATATATATATATATATATATATATATATATATATATATATATATATATATATATATATATATATATATATATATATATATATATATATATATATATATATATATCTTGATAAAATCCTCGGGAAGATGGAAACAACGGAGGTACTCCGTTGTTTCCATCTTCCCGATTTTATCAAGATTTATCTTATCCCGTTGTCATTGTGGATCTACATGAAATATATATATATATATACATGTAGTATATATATGTATATATATACTATATATATATATATATATAACAGCATATATATATATATACATATATATATATATATATACACATACAGTTGTACCCCAAGCAGTCAATTGAACCCAGAGGGGTCCGTTAGGTGAAATCCGCGTTAAGTGAACAACAGAACATATGGGATTAATTCCAATAGAAACCGGCCCGACCCCCAAACTCCACTTTTTGAAGGCACATACCTATGTTGTAGTAAAAATAACATCTTAATTTTATGATGGTACATGCACACAATTAATACTTAAGAGAAATAGAGAAATACAGTCGCCAAGTTAATGTCCATTCAAATAATGGACTCAACTCCCTCCCACTCTCACACTACACTGCCGGCTCTTCCCTCTCAGAGAAATTTTTGGGGGAAAACCACTAAATTTTAATAAATAATACCTCAAACTAAAGTTAGGATAATACAATTGACATTGCTGGATTCCTTGTAAGACCAGGAATATTTTGAATATAAATGTCATATATTTTGCACAAAAGATAACATAGTTACCTAGAGAAAAAATTTTATCTAAAAATTGTATGTTTAATGCAAAATATATGATGTTTATATTCAAAATGATCACCAAATTATAAGAATTCCAGCAATGTAAATTATATTCTGACTGGGTAATTTGTATGAATTTTATGAGCTAAAACAAATATCTTCAGTTAATAAAAAAAAAAATAATCTTCACGACACTATCTGTCAATCAAAGTACCCCACCTTGCCTCCCCCCCTCTTCCAACCGCGCGGTCAGTCCCAACCCTCCCCCCCACCCCCCACCAATCCTCCCTTCCAGAGTTTTTAACATTTAGTATTAAATAATACCTCAGATTAAAGTTAGGATAATATAATTGACATTGCTGGATTCCTTGTAAGACCAGGAATATTTTGAATATAAATGTCATATATTTTGCACAAAAGATACCATAGTTACCTAGAGAAAAATTTTTATCTAAAAATTGTAAGTTTAAAGCAAAATATATGATGTTTATATTCAAAATGATCACCAAATTATAAGAATTCCAGCAATGTAAATTATATTCTGGCCGGGTAATTTGTATGAATTTTATGAGCTAAAACAGGCAGGGTGGCGGGTGGGGCAAATCTAAAAATAGCGTCTCGAGCCGGACACTCACCGCGTATATGTGGAAAAAATCCGTGTTAAGTGAAAGTTCAGCTCTGGCGAGGCACCGCGTATATGATAAAACGCGTTAAGTGAAACCGCGTTAGGCGGGGTATATATATATATATATATATATATATATATATATATATATATATATATATATATATATATATATAACAACATATATATATATATATATACTATATGTATATATATATATATATATATATATATATATATATATATATATATATATATATATATATATATATATATATATATATATATATATATATATATATATATATATATATATATATAATTATTTTTTTCGAGTCCCGACTTTAGTGATTGCTCTGTGTACTGACCAAATTTTCGTTTGTAATTACCTTTAAAATGGCCGGCAAGCTTAAAAGTGAGTTTTGTGGTGCTGAAAAGAAAAAGAGACACCCATTTTAGATTTTCTATGTATTATTTTCGACCAATTCGACTTACAACCTGGATTTGGGTCCCTAACCCCGTCGCAAGTCGGGGACTGCCTGTATTCTGTTAGTTCATGTGCAGTAGTGCTAGTTTGGATTTGAGAATGTTAATCAAACCATAATTAAAACAAATTTATAAAATCACAATTAATTGATAAATGAAGGCTATCAGCAAGAAGTGTTTCTATTTCTTATCAAATTTTAACACCTTGTTTGTAATAAATATTTTTAAATTTAGCTTCCCTGGGATCTCATTAAAGGAAAAAAATAGGGACTAATGAGGATGAATAAGGAATACATTAAGTCCTCGCTTAACGTCGAGATTACGTTCCTAAAAACGCAACGTTGCGAAACAACGTTAAACGGATCAATTTTCCCGAAAAGAAATACAGCTCCTCCCCGACTTATGACGGGGTTAGGGACCCAAATCCTGGTTGTAAGTCGAAATGGTCGTAAGTCAAAAATGCTTAGATAATACATAGAAAATCTAAAATGGGTGTCTTTTTTTTTTCTCGGCACCACAAAACTCTCACTTTTAAGCTTGCCAGTCATTTTCAAGTGAATTACAAATGAAAATTTTGTCTGTGTAGTGACTTTGGGACTCGAAAATACATAATTTGACAAAATTTTGGTACGACTGAGGCAGGTCGTAAGTGCGGGTGGTCGTAAGTCAAGTAGGTCGTAAGTTGGGGAGGATAAAATACAGGAGTTACGCTCGTGAGCCTCCCTTTGCCCCACAAAATAAATTACATAAAACAGAAAATCATTGCCATTTCTAGAGAAAATAGTGCACACATATACAACTACAGTGATATCCCTGTTAACCGGAACAATTGGTGCAGAGCACTTCCGGGAATGAGAGATTTCCTGATAACTAAACGACTCTTTCAAAGCCTGAAATAAATCCCTCATCCCTGGAATTTTCCGGGTGACAGAACAATGTTCTCGGAATTTCCAGAAATTGCCCATTACATCATCTCTCGAACCCGGAAAAATATCCCCCATCTCCGGAATTTTTCGGGTAAAGGAAAATTTTCTCGATATTTCCAGAAAATGGGCCTGATTTTCATCTCTCAAACCCGGAAAACCTCCCCCATCCCCGAAATTTTCCAGAAAATGTGCCCCTCGGAAAATCATTCCCAAAGCCGGAATTTTCCGAAAATTTTCGGCTTTGGGAACGATTTTCTGAGAAAATTTCAATTCTGGCTATCGGAGAGTTCTGGGTTTGAGGAATTCCAGCTAACGGAGATATTATTGTACTCACTGATGGGCGGAGGTGGAAGAGTGAGTGTGTGGTGGGTAGTGAAGCAGAAGAGGCGGATGACGGGAGTGGAGGAGTATGGCGGGAGCGGAGGAGGGTGGTGGGAGCGGAGGAGGGTGGTGAGTCACTGAGACTGCGCCAAGCCGAGAGAGCGTAGCTCGGCCAGACAAGAGAGGGTGATGCGCCATAAAAAGTAATCCGTGATGACGCAAAACGACGTTGTACCGAGTCATCTCGGCGTTAAACAAATATTTGGCATCTAAAGATTAGCGACGTAGTACCGAAACAACTAGGCTTGAAATAGTGCACTTTGATGTAGTTTACCTGGAGCTTGAAGAAAAAGGAACCCTGGTGAAGATTATATTTTTGTTTATCTCAAGGTGAGATAATGAATCTTTCCTGTATATAATACAGAAACTGTCCAAATGTCAACAATTTTATATGTAAACCTTGCAAGCATGTTAGAGTCCTCTCTCTAAATTAAATATTCCTAACTTTGTAGGATAGTTTTAAGTGAGACATTGATGAGATAGCATTTGAATAATTGCTCATCCTTTCTGGACTGATCATAACTATCAAAATGTTCCTTTTACATTACGAACTTATATCATGTTGAGTTATAAAAGTGTGTTTTTAGTATGTACACTGCAACAGTTACTCCTGGTTCCACCTGGCCACAAAATATGGCTAACATGGCAACAGGGCATGTGTGTTCGTGTGTACATGATCGACAAATTGTCAGAACAGCAATGCTCCCTCTGAACAGTTTTTCTTGTACAGTATGTTCATTTTCCTACACGAGCCAATTAACATTGGTTACTTTAGTCCACTTTGTTAATGCTGCACTTCTTTTATTACTTGATACAAGTTTGGAATGCTCTTATCATGTGCCACCAGTGATTTCAGGCTCAGGGAATACAGGTGTCTGAGCCAAAGATTACCCTACTACCCCATAGCCCTAAAAAGGGAAATTAGATGCTGTGGTTGCCATAGACAGCTGGGAACCTGATGAGTCATGAGCTGCACTGCCATAAAACAATCTCACAGTACTAACACCATCATTTAAGCCCCAGCCTCCATTAAAACAACAGCTGTCCATCTACTTACTACACTTATGTTCCAAAAAGCTAATTGCTGGGCCTCATATTGTGCTCTGGGAATTTAGTCTGTGGTGTGCAGTTTTTGGTTTAATATGGGAAGGAAGAGTGGGTGTTTGTCTTGTATTTACTACATTTCACATATGTTTACATTTGATGACTTTGTAGGGGTATGGGTTTTCCTTATGGAATGTTCTAACACTATATCCTCACTTCTTGGTACATCACAAAATTTAAAAGAATCCAATTACTGTGTGCTGCACTGCCCAGAGGTTGTAGTGGGCTTGTGGCCACCAGCCCCCTCCCCTTACCCCCACTCCTCACTAGAACCAGCCATATTCTCCTCCCATACCACACACTATCCTCTCACTAACCATTTATTATAACACATTATAATCAGAGTAAATGAAATTATATTATTGCATTATTTTTCTTAATACCGTAGGTTT